AATCTACGTAAATTTACTTTCAGAGTTTATATTTATTTAATAAAAATTGTTTAAATATTTATTTGAAAAATATGGTATATGAATTAATGTAATCGTTAAAGTTTATAATAATATTTAAATAAAGCAAAAAGATTGAAATATTTTAAATACAGACACAATGTATACAAAGGCTAGAGTACAGTTAAAATATGTAATTATGTATATATACATTATATTAGCTATTCCTATATATTATATGTATCGTGTATTGCTGTTGTTATATTATTAGTAGTAAATAGTAAATGATACGTGATGTGAAGGTATTAATTATAGGCCTAGGCTATTACTAAAAAAACAACTCGTTTCATTATTGTTGTTAATAATATAAATATAATAATACAGTAATATTCCGCTTGATGTTAGACTAATTGTTAAAAAGTTTGTTATTCTATTCGAATTTACTTTGTTTTGCTCTTAGTTATAGGTTAAATCCATCAAAAACGATTTTTAATCATGCGGGAAATCCACTCACGATTATTTATACATTTTTTAGTTTAACAGTATTAACGGCTATCTTTTATTTTTTATTATTATTATTATAGTATTATTATGTTTATTATTTATTAATTTTGAAATCAATATTATTGTTATACTGTAATATTGTCCTGTTAGTACATCATTCTTAATATTCTAAAATTATATTTTATTAAAATGAATATTATTGACATCATCTTCCTTCTCATAGTAAGAACGTATACAGCCGCGGCTCCCCAAGGCCTAAGTTGTCTTGAATAGTAAGTAGATCCCTGATAAAAGATCATGAGAAATTTGTTGGCGCTTCATTTTGAGTATAGTAATCAATGCCGTAGGCAGCTATTGGGACAGTTGGACATCCCACACAATTTTTCTATTGGGTCCACAAAGAATGGATCTACATTTTCAAAAATAGGTCTAAATTATGCTGTTTTAGCACAAAATGAGTCCTGTTTTTTAAAAATGCGTCCAGATTTCTCATATTTTCGCGTAAAATTGGTCAACTTTTAAGAAAATGGGTACAGGTTTTTCATATTTTTTGCGTAAAATTAATCCACTTTTAAGAAAATGAGTCCACATTATTTGAATGATTTCGGAGGTTCTACGTACTATACGCAAAACCTCCGAAATTGGAGTAGGACAAACCTCCAAATCGGAGTTTTCAAACCTCCGATTTTGGAGTTTCTGCGTACAGTACGCACAACCTCCATAATCGGAGTTTTCAAACTCCTAATCAAACCGCCGATTTCGGAGTTTCTGTGTACTATTAATTAAACAAGCTCTCTATAGAGAGAGCAGAACTTTTAATCAATCCTCCGATTTTGGAGGTTTTGCGTACCATACGCAAAACCTCCAAAATCGAAGTTTTCAAACATTTGAAACCTCCGATTTCGGAGTGTCTGCGTACTACACCGTACGCGAAAACTCGAAAAAAAAATCGGAGTTTTTAAACTATCTAAACCTTCGACCTCCGACTTTATAGAGTTTCTGCGTACCATACGCGAAACCTCCGAAATCAGAGTTTTCAAACTTTATTCAAACAAAAACCTCCAACATCGGAGGTGTCAAACTCTTAATCAAACCTCCGATTTTTGAGGTTCTGCTTACTATACCGGTATGCGAAAACTCCAAAATCGGAGTTTTTAAGCTTTTAATTAAACCTCCAATTTTGGAGTTTCTGTGTATAGTACGCAAAGCCTCCCAAATCGGAGTTTTCAAACTTCCAACATCGGAGTTTTCAAACTTTATTCAAACCTCCAATTTCGGAGGTTCTGCGTACTATACGCGAAACTTCCGAAATCGGAGTTTTCAAACTTTTATTCAAACATCCGATTTTGGAATTTCTGCGTACTAGACGCGAAACCTCCGAAATCGGAGTATTCAAACTTTATTCAAACCTCCAATTTTGGAGTTTGTGCGTACTATACGCAAAACCGCCAACATCAGAGTTTTCAAACTTTCATTCAAACCTCCGATTTCGGAGGTTCTGCGTACTATACGCGAAACCTCCGAAATCGGAGTTTTCAAACTTTTATTGAAACCTCCGATTTTGGAGTTTCTGAGTGTAATACGCAAAACCTCCGAAATCGGAGTTTCCAAACTTTATTCAAACCTCCGATTTTGGAGTTTCATAGTACGCAAAAACTCCAAAATCGGAGGTTTCAATAAAAGTTTGAAAACTCTGATTTGGGAGGTTTGGCGTATAATACGCATAACCTCCGAAATCGGAGGTCTGATTAAAAGTTTTAAAACTCCAATTTCATAGGTTTCGCGTATTACTAGTACGCAGAAGCTCCGAAATCGGAATTTGAATGAAAGTTTGGAAACTCCGATTTAGGAGGTTTCGCGTATAGTACGCAGAACCTCCAAAATAAGAGGTTTCAATAAGATAGGAAACTCCGATTTCGGAGGTTTCGGGTATAGTATGCAGAACCTCAAAAATCAGAGGTTTGAATAAAAGTTTGAATCTCGGATTTCGGAGGTTTTGCGTATAATACGCACAACCTCTGAAATCGGAGGGTTGATAGTACGCAAAACCTCCGAAGTCGGAGTTTTGGCGACGGGCGCAGACACTCCAAAAATGGAGTAGCTACACACATGGGATATTGTTCCGCACTGTTTGAAAATCCTGGCTACAGCATTGTATATAACAGTGATGTGATGATGATGATGAATTTTACAAAAAATGTAATTTTTTGGTCATCTATAGGTACTATTACCACATTAAACTCCATCGAGTCGACACCTGACTTAGAGTATGTCTTAGTGACTGCTGATGAGGCGGGAGTGCATAAATTTGTTTTTAGGATAAGATCATAAAAACTCTTCCTGACCGAGGGCCTCGACGGCCCCTGGGTTCAGACCTACCCTGTCAGACCCTTCTTGTCAGCACATATCTACCGCCACCACTGAATGACAGTAAAGGGTAAGTAATGAACGATCTTTGAATTTGTTGTAATGACTTCATTCTGCGATTTTTTTTAACGAGAGTGTACAGTAAGCCAAACTATTTAGCCTTGTAACATTTCATATCCATAATGTATGTAAAAGTGACTAAAAACATAAAATTTATTTACCTTTCATAAAAATGTACATTGAAAAGTATTCACTTTAAACATGAATTACTGGTTAATATGTTTTATCATTGTAATAGTCCTTTTTGCTACGGTGCTGGGCTTGCCACAGTTTTCTAAGCCCAGGCAGGACCTAGGGCAGGCCATAGGGCTAGGGCTACAAAAAAAATATAAAAATATAAAAAAAAAATAAATAGAAGAGGTCCTAAAATTGATCCCTGAGGGACCCCACACTGAATGGAAGCTGGGGAAGAATTTTCTCCATTAATAAATGTGATTTGCTTTCGGTTAGTCAGATAAGAGGTGAACCATTTAAGTTCCACGTTATCGAGTCCCTGTTGTTTCAGCTTTTAAAAAAGTGTGGGATGATGGACGGTGTCAAATGCTTTTTTAAGATCTAAAAAATGGCACCGGTCATCATCCCATTATCAGTATTATTTAAAATATAATCACTGACCTGAAGAAGTGTAGTAGTAGTGCTGTGTAGTGGACGGAAACCAGATTGATGAGGGGAAAGGGAATTATTTCTAAGAAGTAAGAATATAGATGATCATGAATAATTCGTTCGAAGATTTTCATTAAGGTAGGTAGAATGGAAATGGGTCTATAATTGTTACAGTTATCCCTAGCCCCCCCCCCCCTTGTGAATTGGAATAACTTTACACAGCTTCCATTCAGCAGGGACCTCTCTCAGGGAAAGAGAGAGATTGAAAATAAAGGTAACATGTTGAGAAATACAAGGTGCTGCAGCCTTGATAAGTCTCGGACTTAAACCGTCCACTCCAGTTGCTTTGTTAGTTGCCAGACTGGACAGTGCCTTAAAAACATCATTATTGCTTACAACATTAAACTTAAAATACTCAACATAATTAAGATTGCTTAAAGCTTTGTCAGAACTAGTAAAATTTACATCATCATCATTATGAGAATTATTATAACCATCATTATTATTATAATTATTATTAAAATTAATTAAAACTTTACATTATTTACAAAATTCACTGGTAAATTCAGGTCGTCGTCATGTAAAATCAAATTATCATTAAAATCATTTAATGGTATCTCGCTCATTATAGCTTCACCAATTGAACAGAAATAATTATTAAATATTTGGGCAACAGTTCCATTTATATCTTCAGTATTAATATTTATTGCATTATTGGTTTTCTTACTAGGTACAATTTGTTTAAGTGTTTTCCATAACTTCTTACTATCCGACAAATTATTAGAAATTGTGGAGCGAAAATAATTTACTACTGAACATGTTTAAAATACAAAAATTTAACAAATTGACCACCTCAGCAAAAATATTTGGTAAAACTTTCAACAAATCAGAAAGCTGAAGTATGAAACCCAAAATCGGAGGTTTAATAGAAAGCTTGAAAACTCCGAATTTGGATTTTTCGCATACGGTATTGTACGCAGAACCTCCAAAATCGGAGGTTTGAATAAAATTTTGAAAACTCCGATTTCGGAAGATTCGCGTATAGTACGCAGAACCTCCGAAATTGGAGGTTTGAATAAAGTTTGAAAGTTTTATGTGCACTACCTTGAATTTTTCAAATATTTTCCTATTATACAAAGTAAGTTTTTGAGTAAATATGAATGAAATATCATGATGGCTTCATGCCTTACTAAAGGCCATTGAAAATCACATTTTATGATTTTAGCAAGATTGGGTTTTTCGTAAAAATAAAAACAAATTTTCATCCAGTTTCTGAATTCTGTTAGCCTACAATTATTTTTTGACTTTGTGTGGGTAAATATCATAACATTTATTTTCTGAAAGTTAATCTAAATAATATTAACGCAAATGTTGTTTTTAAACTCACCAATTGGCCATGTTTGTTTTGGTCACGTGGATAAATGCTATTACGAACCAGTCGAATGAAAATAATACTCAACGAAAAATCGTAGTCAACGAAATGAACCAGTCGAATACGCCCAAAGGCTAGGCTTTGCATGCTGATGAAGGAGGCTATATTGATGGATGAACGGGAAACCCAGGCCTGTTTGTACTGGAAATGGATCGGACTTGATAACTTAGCCTAGGATTCCTAGGTACGGCAGTCTAGTAGTACAGCAGGAAGTATCGTTTGTGCTAGCGCAGGTACTTGCAACCAAAACTGAAGTTTTTTACGGGGTCTACCTACTAGCCTAGGCAACCGGGTCTTTTTTTAGGACGATCGGGCCCAGTTTGAAAGTGTGTCCGATCATCCTAAAAATGGGCCGGATAGCCAAGGCCTAGGCCTAGTCTGGGAAGGGGCCCGATCGTCAGACTGTAGGCAAAATCATTTCAGCTCATGACTGTCGTTTGTATTTGTTGATGAGGCCTTTTTCACGAATCGGTAGACATCTTTAAGGAATGACAAATATTGCAAATCAGCGGTGCATAACCAACAGAAATAAAGATAAAGCTTTTGGGCTGATTTTCTGACATCATGTTATTACAAAAAATCATACCTCCATAACAGGGCGTCGTATCCAAAAAAATTTCCAGCAAAATGTTCTTAAAGACTAGTCTACACGAAAAAAAATTGAAAAATGTTTTTGACCTCTGAAATCAAGTAATCAAGTAAGTAGTGTATTAAAATAGGTCTATGCATTACAGCGAGTAAGTAATACTGTAAGTGTAATAGTACTCTGGACTAGCATTGTTTTAGTTACCATCCCTATGAGAGTTTCCTGTGTTAAAAACATGATTTACTATACTATACTTCTTTATTAAACATAACTTGTACTTTATAATAAGAGAAAATCTGTATATTATTATCAGTACCTGGAACAGTAACAACACGAAAGTACTATGCTACTGCACTGTAATGCATAGGCTTATTTTTGCTGCGAAGCAGCCAATTCATATTCTTGACAGCAATTTGACCTCTGAAAGGTCATTGTTTGTCAAAAAACCCGCGCCTAAGACAACTCAAAAGCGGAGTTTCCTTCTTTCGTTCTGCCGGGTAAAATCAATTACTTTAGGCGATGTTTGTAGACTAACCTACTCGTACCAACGTCCGCATGTCGCGACGCTGGAGTACTATTCAGCGTTTTTATTATATTTCTAGGTTTCCTATTTCTACGTTTAATCGGCTCATGTCTCAGCCACAATATTTTGAGGCCAATAATACGAACCCAGTTAAAATTATTTACTAGCCTATTTCAACGTGCTAATTATTACATTTAGGCGACGCTTGTTGTAGACTGGCATTGTGTTTTCGGAAATAAATACCATTTTATACACCTGCGCAGATCGATTTGCCAGCAGCGAGTCATCGGCCAGCAGCAGCGAGTCGCCAGCAGCGAGATGTCACTGCAGCAAAACACTATTGTACACGGTACCAACGCTGTTCTAATATAGACAAATGGGTCGTGTCTCATATTATTTGTTATATTTTCATTATTCATTATTTTCACTTGACTCGCATAAATAATTTTGTTCAAAGAACATTTTATGCAGTTTTATTTCGCAGCACTTCACTTGCAATTTGCAATTTCTAGTTAATACACTACTTAGATAGGTTTTTCTTTTTCCATCTTGATTTCAGAGGTCAAAAATATTTTTCAATCATATAGTGGTGTACTGTAGTCTAATCTTTTAAGAACATTTTGCTTGAAAAATTTTTTGGATATGATGCCCCATTTTTGGAGTTATGATTTTTTAAATAACATGTTGTCAGAAAATCAGCCCAAAAGCTTATCTTATTTCTGTTGGTTACGCACCGGTGATTCGCAATGTTTGTCATCACTTCAAGATGTCTACCGATTCGTGGAAAGGCTTTTCTAATTATATAACACTTACAATTATTCAATACTAATAATTCCTTGATGATTTGACTTTCCAGTAATCCACTTAATAGGCCAAAAAAAATATGCTTGTTTAGCGTCACAGCCCGACCCTGATTTTCTAGCCGCCTCCCATTTTTTTTTTTTTTTGGTAAAAAAGTGCTGAAATTCGACTAAAAAAGATCTAAACGATCGTTTATTATTGTTTTTAATTAAATTAACCATTAATTAAGACGGTTATCGTCTTCGCAGTGCACCATTTTCATACCCGGCTTGTTTGTAGTGCTGTACATGTCAACAACTTTGCGGTGTTGCCAGAATCAGGGCAAAATTATACCGTGGTTGCCAGATTTTTTATTTATTTATTCAAGGTGTGTGCTGAGTTATGCGTGCCTAGTGGAAATACCTACGAATCTTAAAGTTAAATTTAGAGAACGCAATAATAAATCGGAATGAAAGTGGCCCCGTAGAGTCCACCTCGGCATAGGTAGGCCGATCATCTTGAGACAATAGCATAGGCCGAGGCCTAGGTCTGATCGTCCACCAGGGGTTTAGCCAGAAAAACGAAATAGGCTGTCCAAAATGGAAACCGATGAGCATGGCCTGATTGGGCCACGCACACTAGTGGCCACACCCCTTCCCAAACATAAAAAACAATTAGAAAATTTTGACCTTTAGAGGGCATTTATTTTTTTTTTAAATGTTGAAATTTCACCTTCAAAAAATAGTGTTGAATTAGTTATCACAAAGATATTTCAGTATAGACATAGATTGTGAATGGCTACGGTTGTTTACACGCATACAGTAATTCATCTCTTCATGTCTCGTCTTGTCTAGTGTAAATTCTACTCTAGGTCCTCTGAATCGAGAGGTAGGCCTAAGCCTACTGTATTTTGTTGACTAATAAAATTTAACTTGTGATGTTAACAATTATAACCAGGAGTAACGAACATCAACAATATGTTTGGGAGCCAAATCTCAAACTTTAGTTTAATGTAACATTCAAAAGATTTGAAAATTACAAAAAATTTGCTAAAGTTAGACCAGGCAAAATTAGACTAAACCGAGTTGATTAGGCCAAGCCGTCCAAATTGCTAAGGTCAAAGTGTTCATCCTAAATAATTGTTGGTCGTCCAAAAGACGGTCTGGTGGCTCGCTGGCTAAGCCTTTGTCGTCCACTGGACCACACTATTTGCACCCAATTTTCTAAAAATGGACCCAAATGCCTGATCGTATCACCCTAGCTACCCTACATTAGCCCATACAGACTTCTCAAGCACTACGGAACTTCTGTAGTTTGTCCTAGGCCTAGTTGCTGCGTAAATTTTTCCTAATTACGGATACACGGAAATAGAGTAAAATTCTACAAAAATTTAAAGGCCTGTCCTAGACCCATAAATAAATGAAAGTCTTTATTTTGCCACGACCGGCAATATGCCTACATCAATATTTTACTATTTTTCTAATTGGCTAATGTAAATTATGACATCATCAAATGCTTGAGAGACCACCGCAATACGTGCAGAGAAAGTCAAGCACCATGGCTGACGAATGTCTACAGATTGGTGATACTTCCGATAGTTTTTTGGATGTTAAAAGAAAAATAAAAGAATTTGAAGAAAACCAATGTATTAATTATTGGTGCCATGACTTACGGACCATCGCCACAGCTCAGAAAAGGGGGCTGTATCTAGGCCCTAGGGTGGCCCTGTATCTAGGCCCGGGTGGCCCTGTATCTAGGCCCTAAATATGTTTGTCATGTTGTGTGCAGTTTGAGCTTTTTCCTCATTTTGAGTCACAGATGTTGTTCAAACTGTGCATGCACATGGAAACTGCACATTTATTTTAAATTTATTAATACTGATACTATATTAACATATTAGATTATAATTCAACATTAATGTATTTTTTGGGAAATATATGGTACGCATACTAGTTTGCGAATAGCATTTATTTGCGGATACGTAAATTTTAATTAGCTCTACTTTTAATAAATTATCAACGATAATTAAATTTTCTTTTACGCCTTGGCTAGGGATACGATACTGTGTCTATGTCAGTTTGCTAAAGGTACGGTAAATGGCATATACGTCACCATTACCCAATGAAGTACTGAAATGTGGGTGACATCATCTTTCAAGTCTTGTATTGCTCATGGCGAGCACTGAGCTGATGGTGTGTAACAACAAGCGGCTGATGTACTACTTCTGGGTATTAGAACGTGATTAGCTAGGCAACATGATTAGCTAGGACAAATTACAGTAATTTTTTCTGAGTTCAATCATCAGTAGAGTCATGCCATTTTTCTATAGCCTTATCAAAAATGTGCTGGAGAATGGAGCAGTGGCACTCATGGGCATCGATCTGTGATGACGGGGGGGCCCGTCCCCCTACTTTTCAAAGTAGAGGGGACATCATATTAATTGTCTCCCCCCCCCCACTTTTTACCAATCTTCTATAATTAAAACCCCACTTTTCGAGTGCAAAGAACAACAATTACGAATGACTGTCATGAATTTTGTCCATTCACTTGTGCTCCGTTCAAAGTGCAGTGCATATTTCCGCACCAATACTGAGTAAAAAATCAAATTTTGTTTGTACATTTCGTAACCATCTCAGTATCTATTTTATGGATGCACCAGTTATCAGAGGCTACATTTATTATAAAAAGAATGTATTGTGCGTTGTTAAAATTGGAAGCGTGTAAACCTACAGTATTAGGCCAACATTTTTAGGAACTCAAAGTTCATAATTTTGACTATAAACGATTTATTCCTTCTGTGTATTATTAAGGCCCGTGTATTACGGTATACTAGTGTTCAATATTATCCTGTTATTTCTAATTTAAAAAAAATTATAGTTAGTAAATTGAATTTTAATATTATACAGCCATATATTTTACCCACGGATAGGTCTGTCTATTTCGACTTATTTAATTATTGATACCACAAGTTTACGAACTCAGATGTTACTTGACGCAAACTCGCCATGACATCATGCAGGGGCGGATCCAGCATGGGGCCACAGGGGCCCTGTTTCCCCTCCCGTCAATCCCGCCGAATAATAAAAAAGAGAAAAAAAATGAGAAGAGTTAAAGGGAGGAAAGAGGAAAAAAGAAGTATATCCATGAGCACAGTGGCGGTCTCAGCAGTGGGCGAAAGGAGAACTCGATTATTTTACCACTCATAAATTTTGAATTTTCTATTGATTGACAGCGAACACAACGTTACGCTGTATCCCCAACGCCAATTTTTTTTGCAAAGATTTCGCAAACCAGGATGTAAAAAAGGCCAAAAGACGGTGACTTAAGATAGGGTTTTTTACCGG